TGTGTGTGTGTGTGTGTGTGTGTGTGTGTTAGTGCGTGTGTGTGTGTACCTGCGTGCGTGCGTGCATGCGTGCGTGCGTGCGTGCATGCGTTCGTGCGCGCGTGCGTGTGTAGCTTTCGGTTAAACATTGATTGGACATTAAACACAATTGCTACATTGGCACAGTATTTATATATACGACGGGCAACGTATTTGCTTTGTAACATTACTCCAATCACTACCTAACGCTCTTCGCCAGTCACGAATTCCTTTGCCAAGCTTCCATTAATATTATGATTACAGCAGTGAATACACGCTCGTGCCATGGCGCCACGTATAGCCATTCTTAAACTTAGGAATGCATGGTACCGCACGCGCGCCTTCGATGGCGCGTGTCGTCGGGAGCGGAATGTGGATGCTTTACATACATCCATATACATACACGCGGGTGCATTATAACACATACTGAACACATAGCGCGTGTTACAGTGCAGCTTCGAAGGCCTATGAAGATAATGACTTGGCAGCCGTGCGACGAAATCTTCATAATTATATAAATGACGAATATAATGGATGTCTCGTGAAAATAAGAGCGAAATTATATGTGCGGCGGTGCGTGCTGTGATATCCGCTTAAGTTCAGCAGCTTTCACTACTTAGTATACCTTTTTCGCCGTTTCCGTTTCATCTCTTCGTTCCGCGGATATGCGATTCTGACTACCGTGAGAGGGCGCGGCGATCGCCTTCAATAAGACGATATATATGATATATGTGCTCAATGACCGTAGCATGCATGAGTAAAAAAAAAGCAATCATTTTACCCCCACGCAGAAATTTTTCGTACGCACGAGGAGTTCTGCACGAATAATCCCACTTCTTAACGTTTCCTCGCAAAAGCTTTTTCCGGTCTCGCTTATACTCACTATTCTGCCATCAGCAAATCCCATTTTTCTTGTTTCCTCACAGAGAATGCCACATTCTGACAGCAATAATTGCCTTCGCACCGCACGGTTGCATCAGGGACGGACGGCCCCCCCCCCCATACTGCCGCCGCGTCTATGCTACGCGCGCGCGCGCGCTCTCTCTCTCTCTGTCTGTGTGTGTGTGTGTGTGTGTGTGTGTGTGTGTGTGTGTGTGTGTGTGTGTGTGTGTGTGTGTGTGTGTGTGTGTCGCGTGGTGTGTGTGTGGTGTGTGGTGTGTGTGTGTGTGTGTGTTGGGTGTGTGTGTGTGTGTGTGTGTGTGTTTCTCTCGCTCTCGCTCTCGCTCTCGCCCTCGCTGTCTCTCC